GCAAACGATGATAGCTCCAACGACAGCAGCTAACACCAATACAGTACTCTCTGTGTGCATGTGTGCTATTGTGTCTGTCAACATTTCATCAAATAAATCTTTGGTCTCGCATTTTTGTTTTTTCTACTTCATGAATTACTTAGACATTGTGTGAGGAACGGTATTGATCTGGTGTTTATTTGGTCTAATCAATATTGTTGTTCGGCGTGTGCTTTAATGTGATGGTGGCGTTGCGACTAACTGGTGACGTTTAGGTAATAGTTCAGTAGTGTGTGGAGTTGTGTTGCGCTATGCGCGTTGTACACCCGTTGTTTGCTTAGTCCATAGAAATGTCTTGCTGGAAGTGTAGGCGAAGGTGATGATGATGGCGGTGAAGATGATGATGGTGAGGGTGAGAGTGTGCGTAGGAGTGGTTGTAATGGTGGAAGTGGGTGTGGGTGTTGAAGTGGTGGGAATGCTTGAGAACATTGGACAACTCATCGACAAACCTCATTCACTCCTATTCTGATAGTTGCACGAAATAAGATGCGGATCGAGCCATTGTCTTGATGAAAACTCGATTCCTCAGTCGTTCGCAGACTCTCTGTGCTAAATAACACTGAAGCAGTAATGATATAAATGATACTTGTCAAGATCGTATCCTTGCGTGAATCTTTTAATCAATTAACGATGAAGCAAATTTCCCCTTTTATAAACAATGGATAATTGAAAGTTTGAGAAGATGAATAATGAATGACTGAATTGGCATATTGGCTCAAATAAACAATTAACTAATTAATTCCTGTTTCAGTAATAATGAAAGGCGAATATAAAATAGTTATTTGGTTCTCCAAACGAAAATGAGCAATGTTACTACAAAAGTAGATTTTTGTTTTGACACTCAAAAATCGTCACCAAAAATTCATATCTTTGTTTCTATTTAAATACCTTAAATCTGTTAAAAAGACGTATGTAAACTACTGTTCATTCATGCAAGAGCAGTTTCAATAAAATTGTTTGTCTACATCACCATTAGTCAAAAAGGAAGTAAAGTTTCCCATTATACATGCATCAACAGGTTACATTCGAAGTTCCTTCAGATTAATATTCAAAATGTGAATCCTTCTATTGGATTATAGTTATTAACAAATATGAGAAAGTAACATGGTTTTAACAAGCATACGAAATCAAGTTTGACAGAGAAATCCATCCAACTCTTTATTGTCAAATTATTGAATTTCAATCAACATAGCACGAGATTATTCATAGCCTAATCTGCAAAATATTGGCTGTCTTCATTATGTCCTTAATTCTTCCATGGCTCCGAACGCATTTCAATTGAAAAGAATTGTTACAATTTCGCCAAAATATGTCTGTTATTTGACCCTTCGGCCTATTAATTAAGGTCATTCTTCAAGACCTTAATTAATTGATATTTTCAACTCAAGGGCATTTTTTGCATTCATCTACTTAGTTACTTTAATTGTTGTGGTATTTTATTAATTGCTTAATTCATAAAGCAGTCACAAACCAACATGAAATAATTTGCGATCTTACCACAGCAGTCATTAATTTATACCAGCAGATAACAGTATGAGCTGATATTTTTTTTAATACAGTCAACTCCAAATGACTTGCAAAATATTCCCAAATGAGGATAAATGTGTCCCTTTTCCTGATAAAATAGATCAGATTGGAGTTCTAGTTGTCTCCATTTTCTCTCCGCCTCCTCTTCTTTCTTAGCATCTCTAAGATCCGATCACCATTTTTGGCAAAACTAATTGATAAACAATCTCTGAGCCCATTGGAAGAGTGCTTATCAAATGCACCATTTTGATCAGCTAACACTTCTAATTTCTACTTGAATACAGGGAAATGAAGTGGTAGTTTGTTTTACTGCAACGTGTACAAAATAAAAGCTATTTTTACCACGGAAATTAGTTAGTTACACCGTGTGTAAGAGGAAGTTGATGATGGGGCAGAGTAAGGCTTATTTGTGGAATCTAAAGGAACCGTGTTTTTAGAAGTCTTCACGGAGTCTGGATGTCAAATTCATATCAATATTCCTAAAATAAGCCTCAGTAATTGTCTCAACGAAATTTCCAATGCTCTCGTGTTTAATTTTAGTTAATTAGAATTCATTGCAATATCGATTAATGCAACTCTCCGTCAATCCTTTAAAGTTAATTAGATTTTAAAGGGAAATGAAGTTGTAGTTTGTTTTACTGTAACGTGTGCAAAATAAAAGCTATTTTTCCATGAAAATTAGTTAGGAACACCGAGTGAAAGAGGAAGATGGAAGTCAAATAAAGGTTTTGCCGTATGAGAATACCCTATCCAGTTTGCACTGTATGAAGGTAAGACTACCGCGAGCCACTCATTACTTATCAGTAAATTTCACATTTACAAGTATTTAATATATTTAAATAATGGTAGTCAATAAGTAATTGAGCGAAAGTCGAATTCACACTAAACCTGAAAAATAAACCGATTTATTCTGTTGATGATATTTTCTTTTCTTATTCCTCTAATTCCATCTACTCTATATATATATATATATATATATATATATATTCAGAAAAGAAGGTATTCAAACTTCATCCTTAACTTAAAAGAAAACCAAAACAATCCATATTTATTTGTCCTTTTAATGAAATTATTTGCTTTAAGGCATTATCACCATTAAGGTATATTTGTCATGGCAACGCAATAAATTACGCTTATACCTCGAACGCTTGCACTTCGATGCGCATTAACGCTTCTCCCCGTAACCAATCAAAATTGAGGTATTGTTTCTCTTGCAACAGATCACTCGTTTCCCATTCGTCAGTAAGAAATGCTTGCTTTTCATTGGCTGGAATTGGTTCGAGCTTGCTTATAGAAGGCTCACAAGTTAGAAATCTATATCATTTCACTCTAAGTGACCTTATCGTCGACTTTACTACAAGCAGTATTCGCGAAGGCAATGACGATACCTTTGCTTGGTGGACTTCAAGAACTATTTAGAGGACGTCACGGGAGCAGTAATGACAATTTCGCCACTCTTGAAGATTTGGCCGATCGTCTTAATCGCTTCTACTCTATGGGCATCATTACCATTTGCGCAGGCATAACTATGACCTCCGTCTACTTTCTTCGTCCCATTACATGCACTTCCTCTGAGTATCCAACCATACCAAACTTTTTCGCCTACATTGAGTCCATATGCTGGACAGAAGGAACTATTGACCTTCGAAAAAGTGATCGAATTCCCAATACCCAAGAAGAATGGGATCGTCTTCGAGGCAAAGCCGACATTTGTACGTTTTACTTCTTGATAGACAACTTTATTATTACTACTATTGCATTATTAACGACACATGCTTTTGCAAACAGCTTTCTATCAATGGGTGCCATTTTGTCTGGCAATTCAAGCAATTCTCTTCTTCCTGCCACATCTCCTATGGCAGTCACTCACTGTCAATACTCTGGGTGATGACTTTGGTGCTCTAATCGCTCGCGCCAAGGCCGCCAACACCACCGGTGATGCCGATATTCGTACGAAATTGGTAAGAACTTGTGCAGATCAACTCTTTCGCGTCTCACGTCAGCATTCCCGACTCCACTCTGGCAAGTCATTCAAAGCTCGTTTGTACCGTTTCCTCCTCACCTACGTACCCGGCACACACCTCTTTGTATTCGGCAAACGATTGGGCAATCGCACGGCATTCTATTACCTCATTATCAAACTCCTGTATATTGTCAATTGTGTTGGCCAAATCTTCCTCATCATGCTATTTCTCAGTCCCGATGGAATAACTCGCACTGATTTCATTCAATTCACACTTCGACTCTTCAACACCCTCGTGAATAATCGCGAATGGAAAGGAAGTGACCTCTTTCCCATGCGTGCAATTTGCCCAGTTAGTTTGCACATTCTCGGACATCGAAATCAATTGTTCACAGCCATCTGTGCACTGCCCATTAACATGCTGAACGAGAAAATTTACATCTTCCTCTTTGTGTGGCTACTATTTGTGCTCTCCATCTCAGTATTTAGCACCCTGGTGTGGATGAGTCGTTTTGTCTTCCTCTCCCGAAGTGTGTCCTTCCTCACACGTCTTCTCAACATTTCGCAAGATGCGGCTCGTCCCACGTTGGATAGAAATAACAAGCTGGTGAGATATGACAAAGCTGATGTCAAGGATGAGGAGATGTTGAAGAACCAATTTGTTCGAGAAATCGGACTTGACGGCTATTTCATGATACAAATGTTGAAAAATAATGCTGGTGACGTGGTGAGTGGGGAGATTCTGCTTTCTTGGTGGAAAATATATCAGCTTGTGGATAGGCTTGAACATGAAGTAGAGGAGGATGCCGTGAATATGGTTTAACTGTGTGCAACGCAATGTGAACTATATATATGTGTGTGTACAAGATGTTCAATTGTGTATTTGTTATACTTGAAATAATATGGATGAACAACATAATTTTTTGATGCATTTTCGATTCAGTTTTGTTTAGAGCATTGTTGAAAATGTCTCACCTTTTTTCTTAAACGCAAATTGTTTCACAAATAAGTTAAAATAAACGCAGTGGGTGGTGACTTGAAAACTGTGAACGAGGAAACTCATGTGTACTCAACGAGTCTCGAAGGCGCTGCACGTATAGTCGCTTGTATACAGACACCCCAGACAACAACCAATCAGTGCTTTAATAATAAATAAATATTGATGGCACATAAATAAGAGTGACGAAATGTAGCATTATCGTAAAGGGGAGAGAGCGTGATCAGTGATATTCTGAATAAGATCGTCCAACTGGAACACTTGGATGATTACAAGAACCAAGTTGTTGCTTTCGTCGAGGAATCAGGAGTTTAAATTAGGAATTTCAATGAAAATTGTCTTCAAATTGAGCGTTCCCGATTTAATAGATGCATATTGTGCTGCCTTTAGTGGAGAACATATAAGTAATGAGGAATGTACACGTGGGCATCATTATCGGTAAAAGTTGGATAAAATGTAGGAAACCACGTATCAAACACGAGTTGCTTAACTTGCGAGTAAATATGGTTACTTTGAAATATAAATGATGTTTCGGAATAGGAATGAACACACTTTACTACTGAAAGATTAAATAACTGTGTCATACAAGAAAATACATTAGTTAGCCGGAGAACTAAAGTTAGGTTTGTTTTTTGTGAATAGAAGTCTATTAGTTCTTGAAGATTAGAAATGACTGCTTGTCGATCAGATCTCGGATACGGTGTCTTCGATCACTCCAGCCGCATGCGTGCATGAGTGATCATGGGTACCTTAGTGAATTCATCGGTGGCAACCACACGTCGGCTGGGGACGCAATGAACGAATCTGTTCGTGAACACAGTACAGAGGGATCTGTTGTCACTTAATTTCGTAATGTTGCAACACGATGCGAGGTAGACTACTTTGACGCAGACTACTAGATCATTGGATTTTGACACCTCGTAGAATGTTCATGTCATATCTAGAGTTAAGGACTAATGCAATGCTAATGAAACCAATCACTGACACTTTTGGGTGTCCGAAAAGGTTGTGGAGTAGAATTAATACTTGATCCAGTTTGCTAATATTTCTCAATTGTGTCTAGTTACTCGCGAAAGGAAACCAGTAGTCTGTCAGAATTTATGCAAGTCTTAAAGCCGAGTAAGAGGGAACTTGTTGTCCAAAGGTCTCCCTTAGATCTATAATCTGACGTGAAATTTTATAACCCAATTGTTCAAGCTAAACGTTTCCGAAAATTTGCTTCCATCAAACTAGGGAAGGGAACCTCTTTTCATGTCACAATCATCCGACTGAATATACGAACCAATTTCTACCGAAAAGCCTACCATCGGCTCCTTTCAAAAACGTCACAATTGCAACGACAATGACCACAAAGACTATTATCGTGAATCATCTAAGTGGGCTTCAGAAAGAAGGCATTATCTCGAATGAGGCAGTGCGAAGGTATATTAATGTGGATAAATGTTTACTCTATCCAATATGTTATTATTATTATTTCGAATGGCATGTTTTATGATATTCATCATTAGCCCTT